TATTGAAATTCAATATTCTCATATGTGAGATTATATCTACAATCTAGATCAAAAAATAAAGCCATGGATTGCATGGAATAACATTAAATTATGATATGAAATGTTATGAGAGTGGTGCCTGGTGTCTTTCTTGTAACCCACCACACATGTAATAATCATAATATATACACGCTATACTCGATGTAGCGCATAAAATCTGTGAAAAGATGCTCTATTTATTTGGCATGTGATGCAATAACCATTTAATGCGATTCACTTTGAGTGCGGCTTTTTTGCTTTCGTATATATACCTCTTATTCGAGAAATTCAACGCTTCAGATGTAACGAGCAGAAGAAAGTGAATCCTCGAGTCGATGCGTACCTTTCAAAAGGACAGACACATAAATAATGCTAACTTGTGAAAATGCTCAAAGAAAATAATCTCGAACGGCAAGGAATAGGGATGCGAGGAAAAGGGCAACGCTTTCCTTTTGAAATCGGTTTAATTTTGACATGGTTCACATGTACCGAGAATCAAAAAGATAAATAAAATTACGAAATCATCCCAATTACTGACCCATAATAACGTTACAAAAAGCATAAATACTCCAAAATCGATTACTTAAACATTTTATCGGAGCTTTGGACTCGTCATTTTACAACCGCCGTGAATGAACTTTGAAACGGTTTCGGCAAAAATATTTATTTATATACGTTTTCAATTAGTCAGCGATAAATGCCAAAGAACGACGCATCGCATTTTCTTTCATTTTAAATAATAGCCTGCTATTAAAGGTGTGCCATTTGATGGAATGTGTGTTAATTTGGCGCATAAATTTAAAGCTATCTTTATCGGTGGCTTCCTGTTTGTGGTTGATGCCACCAAGCTGGTGACATTGGGCCAGATGAGAAACTCGCTTAAGATAACAATTATGAATCATTAAAATCTACCATCCATCTTTGGAACCATCTTTAAAATACGGCAACGGATGTGTGTCTGGTAGAAAGTTGCGTTTGTTTTATCGCCCACAGAAAATATATTATCCATAAAATTTATGAGTCGTTTATTAACTCAAGCTTTAAAATATAGTCTCGAAGCTGAAAATAAGTGCACCGCCAGTAGCCGCAACAGCAGCTTTTAGTCGCACATCTTGTGTGGAAGAGTTTGAATGAAAGAAAAAGAGCGAAGCTCTATTTCAAACATTTATTTAAGAAATTCGTATTTTTATGCGTTTGCCATGACGGTCGTCAATCCTCTAATTCACCTGCAGACGTGAATTGACGTCAAAATCATGCTTTTAAAATTATCCAATATCTGGCCGCTGAAAAGCAAACAAAATTTATCGTTTTTCGCTCTTCAAATTTTATGAAGACGACGACGACGGCGGCGACTTCTTTTTAGAAACGAAAAAACACACATTGAAAATTTTACGCTGAAGGACATTTCAGACAAATCGAATAAAAAGTGGCAAACGCTCACGCTAGCACACTTTGTACAAATGCCATAAAATAAAGTGTTGCAAATTACCGTTGCCTGCAGTCAATCAGATGGATTATACTAATGGTTTTATTGGTGTTTTGGGTATTTTTTTCACTCTCTCTCCCTCTCTTTCTCATTTCTCTATTTGGTTAATCAATTCAAAGCGTTGCTGATTTCACTGTTATGATTATATCGTTAAAAGTCTGTATTTGTACTAGCTTCGCCAAAGTACTCGATTTGAATACAAATTTTCAAAAGTCATTGGGATTTTCGGCTTCATTTTTATCTATGTGTGTCTGTGCAATGCAAAAGATTTTGTGGATCAGAATATTTGTTACACATTTCAATATGTTACAGTGTAAGGCGTAATACTGTGTCGAATGACACAGTTTGTAATGAAATTGAAATGTAAATGCCGGCATCGAATCAAAGTAGAATATTCGGACAACATGGCATCGTATATCTAACAATGTTTCATGCAGTTTCTTTTCGGTTGTCGACAAATAAGGATCCGAATGATCAAAATATTCATAGCCGATTTCCATTCGAAACTGAATCGAACCGAATAACATACAAATTACGTACATAATTTTAATGATATTAAAACCAAAAGACCTGGATACCCATACCACTGAGAAACACTGCAATGTGTCGTTGTTCGATCTCTTTTTGTCCCTCCCGTCTCCTCTATCTGTCCGTGCATATAAAAAATTTGAATATCAGCGTCTGCTTTATATGCCAAACCGATTTCAGTCATAGACATTCACAGCACACAGACAATAAAACACTTTCAATGTTTGCCGAGCACGAAAAAAAAGCACGCAGCTTGCCAAAAAGGGATGGCACACAAAATCCAAATGGGATAAATTAAAAAGAAAAGCGAGTAGAGAAGAGAACAAAAAAAGTGAAGACACCGAACTGTAGTCGATTGTTGAATTCGAAATGCACTGTATTATGCTAATAGTCTGAGCATTTTGCTTAAATATCCATTTAATTTTTCCTTTTTTGATGAAGCATGTGCGCTTCCCCTTATCTTCAACATAAGGAGCTTCTCTGCATGACACTAAACGCATCAACAAAAGTTGAAAAACAAACGAGAGAAGAAGCAAAAAAAAAAGAATTCTGGGAAAATGGGAACAGAAAATAATCGATCGAGTCAGTCGAATAAATTTTTCTATTACGTTTCATCAAACTGAGTTTCATTGGCACCGACGATCTACCCCTCTCAACAATGTCTAAGGTCAAGGAAACACATTCCGATTGCTGTTTTACCCTTTCTTGTCGGCCTAGTTGATATAAAATGCACAAAACACTCACTTATCATTTTTGTTTGTTTTCTTGAGTGACATGAAGCAGTAAGAAAAAACCTCGGTTTTGCTTTAATCAGCAATTTTTTGTTAACTTTTTCTACGGCACACTTGAATGAGCTCAAGTTCAAGAGCCATAATCCCAGTCAACTGAAACGATAAACATTTACACAACTCTATTTGATGCACAAATTCGAACTAACTAGCTAACACATAACAATTTCCTTCGATGAAATTATTTTATTTGTGTCGACACGAGTTTTCGTACTTAAATATTTATTTTACAGACGCCACTCAATTATCCAATCTAACACATACACACCCATTACATGAAGGTGTTCGACCATCTTAAATCTTCGAACATATTTGAGCACAACACATCTTATACCTCTGTACCATTTTCGACTTTTGTTGTCTCCCACATTTAGCTTCAGGATGCCTTCAATATGTTCGACCAAAATGTCGAAGAACATGCATATTTTTTGGTGATGCACCAATTATTTGATAAATGTGTAATTTACTATAACATGAATAATTCACGTCTTAAGTGTAAAGACGCATGCAAATTGAGTACATTGTAATAATAAAGTGATTTTATCCGTCACATGGCTGCTCGTTTTTGGCACATATTTTGAATAATTTAACAATTTATACACTAGCCATGATGATAGATAAGAGATTAGAGCTACATTTAATATTATTAGATTTCATTTATAATTCCAACTATTTGCATTGTGAAACAACGTAATTTCTACTTTGATCAATCAACTGAAATGATCTCGGAAGAGACAGAGTAAAAGGGACAGGGAGAGGAAGAAGGAGAGAGAGAATAAAGGATTTATATACAGAGAGAATATGTTTCATTACACAAGGAATTTTCACCTTAAAATGAATTATTTCGAATGGGGTACATATTCTCATACAGTACGCTATGGAGATGCTTTATTCCTTCACAAAACTTAACCGAATAGATTGAAATCCCTTTGTACCTCATAAACTTGAAGATGCACTTGATTCATGATTGCACGCATTCCATTCGTACTTCCATGGCAATTCTCAGTGCAAGCACTTGAATCGGACACCTGATTTTAATTTAAATTAAAATGAATTACGAAACTCAAATAGCGAACCGTAACCACAACACCTTCGTTGCATTCGTTGCTGCATTCACTCTTTCACTCTTGAAATAATTTACTACAAATATTTGCCACTTGTTACTGCCATTCCTTTTCCATGTTCCTGTGTGTGTGCTGCTGTTTCCACGAAATCCAATTATGTTTACATTGCTACGCTAATTACAATACGACAACTTTTTGCCCATTTTCATTTTGCAGAACGATAAAATGGCTGTAACGGATATGGCATTTACAAATCACATTCAAAATTCACTTCTAACTTTTTCTTCTTTTATTAACAAAATTATGTTATATTCAGAACAAAATGTTTGTTGCAAGCGGGTTGAAAAAAAAACTACGAATACAATTAAAATGATTGATAACTTTGAATTTCCAAATGAAAACCGTCGTTGAATAACGTCAATTGAGTAGAAACAAGCTTTTCCTCAATTTGAAATTGTGTTCGATAGTTTCAACATCGCAAGTGTGGCGCTCAGTGGAGACGGTTTGATATTTTATTCATCAGTTTGAATTCATTACCAAATAGTCTATATTTTCAAGTTGGAACTATTGTCATTGCACAGATACGATCTAATTTCAATTTAATTTAATGATTCATCTGTGGTTTTCCTCGTTTATTCTCATTTTAATGCATTGTCATGATCGTTATGCGTCATCTCGTTCTATTTTGACCGATGAATTAATATGACATCGTTGGCACAGCAGATGCTATGAATGAAATTTGATTTATTGACCTGATAATGACAGCTTGAGAAGTACAAGGAATCCAATCGAATTGATTGCTGATAAGCATATTTTGTGGGTGTCACATTGTCTCTGATGAATGGAAAATTGATGTTTATAAGAAGCAATCAGTTACCATGATAAATACATTCGGTTGGCAAGCAGCCAGCGTCCTTAGCAACAAATAGACGAATTTCTTGTTTTGTTTATTCCAAAAAAATGACGAAGTTTTCGAAACTAGTCAAGTCATTTTTATTGTGAATGAACAATAAATAGAAACGCAATTCGTTTTGTGCTGCTCACAAAAGAAAGTTTGTATCAATAATAAAATTTGTTTTACTTTTGTATTCTTCGAAATAAAAACAAACAATAAGATTCGCAATTTCTCCGTGAAAAAAAATGCAACGATGTGATAAGAAACCGACTGCAACGCACTTACTTGGCGAATTAACAAAGTTGAAAACTCAGCAAAAATATTTGGAAGCGACGCAGGCAACGCTAAAACCAATAAGTCATACACCATCTGAAGCGAGCGAACTGAACGATTTGGAGTGTTTAAAAATCGAACAAGATTTAAATGCGTCATCATTAACTGATAAAATGAAGCACGATACATTTCGTTTGAAGGATTCAGTGCGAAATTTTCGCAATGAAATGTTGAATGTAGACAGTTTGTGTAAATTCAATACGAAACAGTATCGTGAAAAAATTGAAGTAATTGATCAACGGCAACGTGAACTTGACGCCAACAATCGGGAACAATTGAAAAAACTGAAAATCGAATATTGTAATATTGAAAGTGAATTGACGGCATTAATGAAAAATTTGGATTTACTGGCAAAAATGCCAACAATCAAGAATAAAGTGAACGCAACGATGAATATGCGTCGAGTTCAATCAGCACCAATTGACCGAAGCGATTTGGATGATGTGCAACGGTTCGATAGATACTTAAAAGAGCATAACGGTCACACGGGCGGATGGATTCAAGAGGAACATTTGCTATTCGTCAAATTGAAAAATAAACACAACAACAACATCGAACACATATGTACGGCATTCCATGCATTTCTTGTGGGTAAGAACAGTTTTATTCGTTACCATTTTTTGTTGCTTCTCATTCTACATTTTCTCTTTTCATTCGCCAATTTTTCTAAAATGGATAAAAACCAAATGTAATATACAGATAAAAGCGAGGATGAAATACGTGCACACAATGACTGGCATGAAAAGTACTTGGAATTAAAATTGAAGAAGCGCCAAACGATACAAAATTGGAGACGAAGCCGAACCACACCACTCAGGATAATGTTACAAACAGCATGAATCACACACACCACTCGAGTAATAATTTTGTTAATCAAACGGCGAAATTTACGACATCATTTATCTATTAGTTGATTGGTGCAATCAAACGTCTAATTGACTGTCAGCCGTTTTCCGTCGATTGGGATGATCGAAATATCAACGCATCATAAAAACTATTTTGCTACTGAAAACAAATCAATCAAAATTATATACACACGCACACATGCATCAGCTGCTGTGCGCTGTCGATTACAATCAATGTCAATATGGATTTATTTGATACGGTTGTTAACCTATTGATTGTACATACATAATGAATTTCCGCTAAATGAAGCGCCGCACTGCTCATCGTTCATAAAGTGTACTTAACGTTTTCCATTTTTATAACTTTATTTACGGATCGGGATTCTTAACAGTTAAAATTCGATTGTTTTTTATGTCTAGACAAGTGCAACGGTATCGATATCGTGTTTTATTTATATATGGTATGCAAATGCCTGGATGCAATTTGATGTTTTTTTTCTTAGAAATTTTATTACATAAACATAAGAATGACAAATCTTTTCAGCTTGCATATAAAGCCATTTCGATTATCATTTATAGAAAATACATAAATCATTTTACATGGTCAATCTAATTAGCACTGATTTCGTTTGCAAAGAGAAAAAAAAAACAAAAAAACACACCAACAACATGCATTTGCTTGTATCAGCTTCAAATGGGTGATTACAATTCTAAACAATGTTACACGAATATCATATCATAAAATTAAGATAAAAGCAATAAAAATGCGTTTACTATCTCAAAATCGTCTAATGCAAATCAATTATTGTAATACTTAAAATTCGCATAATCGTAAGAAAGACAAACACAAAATGGATATCGTAAAGAAATTCAAACTTGAAATTGAGTGACCGCAAATGAGTGCGCGACTTGACAAACGAACTCTTTTGTTTTTCTTTTGAAGTGCAATCTATACCTTTATGCTTTGCGTCAATAAACACATCTTTTATTGTTGTCAATTTCTCACATTCATTCTCGGCCATTCAATTAACTTTAGTATATGTGTGTGTAATGTGTATGTATATTATGAGCTCATCATTATTATGGGCGAGCAAAAGAAAAAGACACTCTACGACTCTAATCCTTCGAAATTATACGTTTATAAAATAAATGCGACTAGTTTATTAACCAGAATCATAGTAGTATAACAGGCAGAAATCGCAGAAATACAATAAATGCACTTTTAAAAAAATATATCGTATCATATATATGCACATAAATAGCAACATTTTTGATCATGACGCGCATGAACGCGATATTACTTACTATCAATATTCTACACGCTAACATTATCTAACCTCTTAATCGAATTTTTTTTTTGTTCGCTTTATTTCATATATTTTTTGTTCTCTCCTTCTTTTCTTTCGTCATCGTGTTGCATATATAGAATAGTTTCGCCCTGTTTTTCTTATGGTATATACAAAATTGATTCAATTTCGATTACTTATTGACATACAATGTGATTTATAGATTTCTCAGAATTGATAGTGATTCCGATTGATAATTTCAAATGAATTAATTAAACAGAAGAAAACAAGTGTTAGTCATATATAATAAAATTGGTGGTTGATCATGAGTTTTGCATGAGAGTAATGCAATTCAAAATTCAATATTTATGAAAAAAAAGAGTAAATGACATTGAATACAGTGATCGAAAATTAAATGTAAATAAATGATCTGAATTTAAATAAGCTTAATAATATGATTCAGGATCTATTTTAAAAAGTGAAAATAAACATTATATGAAAAAAAAAATGTGCTTTAATTTTGTGGCGCCACAGCGGTCGGCATGTTTTTAATCTGAATTTAAACTATTGCTTGCGAAGGTCAGTGCTTCATCTTCTCTTGGGCAATGTCCAGATTTTGTGTCATATTCACCATATGCGCACGTCGGTCTATCGCATGATTCGGACGATATACATCTATACAGAAGACGACAAATGTAAATATTATGAAATTAGTTTTTTTTCTTCGAAAATAGATATTTGGCTTCGAATTTGAAAACAAAATGACACTCACTTGCGTTCGGTTATCGAAAAATGTTCCAATCCTCGTTTTAATTTGTTACATATGTCGTTGGCCAAATGGGATGTGCAATCGCATTTGCATTGATGCGAACCAAGTACGTTTGTGAACAGATTTGGACATCGGCATCGATTTGTAACGGAGGCTATTTCAGTTGCTGGCTCATCATTGTAACTAAAGCGCGCCGATTTCGAAATGCAATGGCATTCGGTGTGATTTTCGAAAGTTAAATGTTCAACAAATTGTTGGTTTTTTGAATGCACCTAAAAATTTATATAAGCAAATTCGATTAGAATCCAACCAAATACCTCCATAAATATATTGAATAATGATGTCAATTAGAGAGAATCAGCATTTACCCAAAAGTATAATGTGACATTCTCCTTGTGTCGTGGCTGACACGTTTTATAATCCGCATGACAACATCCTGTTTCATCGCTGCATCGATGTAAGACGGTGCAGTGTGGCGAATACGTTTTTGAGGTGTGACTTCCAACTTGTACCAACTTTGGTCGTGGCCACTTGCACGCTCCTTCTCGACTAACACGAACCGCATGTGCGTACGCTAGCTTCTCTATTGTTAAGACATAAGAAAATTGAATTACTTATCCAGATTGATCCGTAAATGAGCAACATTTTTCGTCATTATAATGGACGTCGATAATGCGATTAGTGGTATATGCTTTAATTTTCAATACATTTCTTTTCACTTGATTTTCCAATACTTTTCACATTCCTTTCTCTCATGCACATATGAACAGTATTCAATTTGTAAAATGATTTAATTATTCAATTTCAACATATATTTCATTCTTTTTTTTTCGATAAAAACCGATTTATTTTCGATTTTCAACTTACTCAATTCGTTAAGCGGAAGTGTTTGTCTAAATGTTTCAGCTACAGCGGTTGCGTGGCCCAATGTTTGAAATTTCTCTCTCGTTAAATCGCCGGGCTCGTTTCGATTCTGTAAATGTCATAAATACACGCATTAAATTCAACAACTAAAATAAATAATCAAAGCGTTAGTCTACACACTGTGTCACTTTATTCAATTTAAATTCATTTACTAATTACTAAGCCATATATAAACGTCATATATAAATTCAGCTTATCAGCTCAATAACAACTCTATCTGTTTATCAACAAAAGCCACAGTGAATCGCATCAACATTGTAGGCGGTTTTATGCTATAAAATGGTTTTGGTGAATCGTTTTCATGATTGAAAAAGTGAAATTTGCATTGTAATTACTCCTGAGAATAGATAATAGTCAATTTCGTAGGTCATAATCGTTTCAATTTCATGTCATTGAAATTTACAAATACGCTGGATGTGGTGATGACATATTTGGAAATTTCCGCGATACCAAAGACGCCAGAAATAGCATTGAAACAAGAGCGCAGTTCAGATAAGATCTGAGTTTCGACACAACAATAAATCAGCCATTAGTCATGGTTTGATTTCGTTTTGTTATTTTGTAATATTTTTTTTTTGTGTATCGTCTTTAATCGGCCATTCTTTAGGCTTGAAATCGGCATTTTCGGCATCTTCAATGTGCAATCTGCACACAGTAAATTAATTCGTTTCAACGAAAAAATTTATTCAAAATTACGTGTATCACCTTCTCTCTGTGTGGTGTGTGTGACAAATCAATTTAAAACACTCTTTTTCTTTCAATAAACATTCTGTGTTCGCGTTGATTCCAGCAAGTCTGCGACGTGTTAAGAATAGAATTTTAAAAGTCATTTGGAAAGAATGCTACGAAAAAGAAAACAGCGCTCAACATTGTGAAACGAGAACATGAGAAGTGCAAACAGAAAAACAAAACAAATTTAAATCGAATCGAATTGAATATGCAATTGGTTCTATAAAATGGCTGTTTTTATGATAATAGCGTTTCATTTAGTATTCAACATGTTGCATTTTATGAAATAAACAGAGAGGGAGCGAGAGAAATTATACTTATCCACATACGCGCACGCGCACGGATCACGGTAAAGAGCAAATGTATGGATGATGACGTGGTCAAAAATTTAAGAGGGAAAAAAGCCGTGAAGAGGTTGCAATGTAGTTCAGTTTTCTTCAAAAAAAAAAGATGATCAGTAATGTGTAATTATTGTCGTGGTTTTTTTCATGTACGTAAAAGATTGGTAATTTTTAGAATGGGAAATGTAATTTCATGTGAGCCATTTCTTTGTTTTGCCGGCTTGTAAATGCCAACGAATGCAGAGAGAGAGTGAGAGAGAGGAAAAAAGTTTCCAACAACAAAACCTTTCATAAAATATCGTCTGTACACATGAGAGATCATATACAATTAATCGGCGATGAGAGGTATTCATTGCATAAAATGAAAACGTATCGATTTCAAATTGGAAATTAAACAATGGAAAAAATACAAGATCATCAACGAAATACAACAAAAAACAACAACAACCATATATACCAAGCTCTGCTCACACTCGGTGAATATTGAATTGAATTCTCGGTACTTCTTTTCCAATCATTGCAAACAATGAATCTGTGCGCATTGCACAGTGTTCCCTTTTAAATTCAAGTTTACGTTCCAAATTTTCGGTATGTTTTCATTGTCGACAAATATCGTTTCATTTTGAAATTAAAGTGATTTTCTCTACATGACAGATTGTAAATTCTACACTATATGCGATGGATGGAATAAGAAAAATTTGTGTACTTGTGCAGAAATTAATAATTACATATTTTCTACTTGCTTTAACGATGTGATGATACATTATGCATGTGTCATGCACCATACTTGCAAACAAAACGAGACTCAATTAATTATAAATGAAAAATGATGAAATGCGCCAAATCACAATGCGCACACTTCCAAAATGAAAAAGAAAAATTAAATAAATTCAGAGTGATTTATATACACACGCGCGAGCGCATGAGATGTAACACATATTGACAGCTGAACCGGCACAAAATATATTTCGACGGCACAAAAAATGAAAAGAAATGTTTATCTGAAACAAAAATGCTCCAACATATATAAATAACGAAAGAGAAACGACAGCAGAATAAAACACACCGAAACCGAAGAAAAAAAAGTGAACCGAACTGAATATTATCAAATGGAACGCATGTCTGAATGAATAAAAATTGAATCGGGCTATGTACACACCAATACAGGTGAAGATGAAAGAATTACATTGTACTCAAGTGTTCTTTTCTCATTCGTCTGATGAATGATCTTTTCTTCGTTTATGCATCAGGGTTTGGCAATCTAATGTCATCCGAATACCAATGTGAATGCATCATCATGGTGATTTTATTCAAGTTCGCTGGAAAACGATGTATTCAACATCTTATAATCATCATAGATCGCGTCGGATATATGAAATATTTATCAACTAACATTCAACTGCACTCGGCGACATGGTCGCATATGACAAGAACAATAAAATGAAAACATTTTACGAAAAATCGTTTATGCAGCAGTTAATAAAATTACTTGAGCTCCTTAAATGGAAACAAACGAAAGCCTTTGTTTAGTTCGTGTGTTTTGTTGTTTTCACATTCGATTGAAGCCGTTAAATTGAAGTACACGCGATCATATGTTGCACGGTACAAGGTACTCCGGCAGGAACACCTCAAATGACAGAGTCATAAAATAACGGTTGATTGCATAAGTGCCCGTCGTTTGATTGAATAGAAAGAGAGAAAAGTGTGTGTGTGTACGTTATTAACGATAAATAAAATAGTGCTTATCGAGCCTGTGATGTGGGAAAAACCAAAGCGGGCGTATCTGCCGTTTGATATAACCGTAAAATAATATATATCAAATGAAAATGCTGATTTATTGAATTGAAAATTGATTGTGTTTGACTTTGTCGACAATAGGGCCTACTCAATTTATTATTTTATTTTTGGTGAATGATTCATATTGTATGGTTTGAATTCGGGCTATAATAAACAACTTCTAAAAATGAATCAATCAAACTTGACAATCATCACACTGATTCCATTCAATTTGACTTTGAACTTTCGGATCACACAAAATTTAGGCCATGAAGTCATATTTTGCGAATTCCCCATAGAATCATTAGATAAAAAAAAACTAAATGATACATTAACTAGTGTAATATTTTAATTTCATTTCAAGTAAATTGAGAGATTAATCGAGTTTTTGGTGAGCAAGTACCATCAATTTAAAATTGTGCGTGTCTCACGCAGAGATAATTTAAATTATAGCATTCGAAATTGCTCAAGATCTCTGCACAGAAAATAAATGTATCTATTCCCAGCTAGAAATGCTTTGCACTAAGTAAGTAATTTACTGTAAACTGATCATGTATTTCAACTTCAACGTTGATTCTCGATCGAACATAATATTTCCTAAAGCATTAAATCGTTTCAATTGATGGGAATCGTTTGATTAGAACCGTAATTCAAATGCTCTTAGTTGTTTTTTTTTTTTTCGTTTGTCAAATTCACAATGTTGCAATGTTTGGTTTCTGCCGGAATTTTAATGTTGTGTATCAAAGAAAATGACTTCATTTAGTATTTTTAAATAGCTGCAAGTTAAAAGAATTTTTATCGATAAAAACAAATTATGGCCGGCGTGAATGGTGATGAAAGATGATATTAATATATGGAATAACATTTCTTAAATAGTACAAAACATTAATAGGTCACGAGTCACGACTCCAACTGTATACAATTCTGACCCCTTAGGATATAGTCATTTTATGCGGTGTGCGTTGCATATATGGTAAACGTTTATTTGATCGAAGTGAAAGAGACCGAAAGCAAGAGAGTGAGAGGGAGAGAGAAAGAGCGCGGAGAGAGTACACATTGCCTGAAAATTTGCCTGTAACTTGTTAACATGATGATGTTATGCATGGGATGCTGTGCGGTGTGATTTGGTTTGTGTGAGTTCGTTGGTTTTTTTTTTGAAGAATTGAAATTCGAGAGCATGTTAGCGCATATTCGAATATTCTATCGATGCGTTTATGTTCAATGAACCTGAAACTTACAAATTGGCCCGTATAAATCGCCACAGACACATATGTACACATAAACACACGATTGGGCGGTCGGTTGGTCTACTGCATGTATTTTATCGTATCCGAAATTTTCACATACGAATCCAGCAAAAAAAAAAACCAACAACAATAACAAATGTGCGCATTGGTTGTTAGAATCAAAGGAAAAGACGGAAAAAAAGTCGGTTCTTCCTACGTATGCCTACGGGATGCAGCGGGCATAAAAGACATACATATGTTTCTGGATATCGATAAATATATGCAACAAAATCGTTTTTGTTGAAAAGGAAGTGATCGCATAAAATTACGGACAAACATTGATGTGGCGGCATCAACGCAACAGCAGCAGCAGCAAAAAAAATATTATTATATCAGTTCTATGCATGTGTGTTCTCAATTGAAACATATTCTAGAACCATTAACAAACTGCCCATTAAATTTTTTTCTGTGTGAAATGTGTTTTTCGTACACATCAACACACACACAGAGAGAGACACACACGCACACCGAAAGATCACAATGACTCCATAGCGATAGAATTCAGAAAACAAATATTCATTCGTTGCATACCATGGGCGTCCAACGCAAATGAGACTGTTTTCGATTTCAAATTGATGTTTTATTATGGCACAATAAATTGGTGGTTTCTCAGAATTGGAATGGCATAAGCATCAGACGAAATAAACTCAAGTGTTTATAAGTCAATAAAAAAAAAAGTTGTAAGGAAAATAAGGCGAAATAAATAATTTCAGGCAAAGGCATTCCTCAGTGTAACACAGTCAACGACAACGCATCTGATCGCATTCAAAATAATGTGTTTTGTATTATTATTGTTGTTGTTGCTTTTTTTTCTCTCTCTCACTGTGCGTTCGAAATGCTTTATAGTGCATTCTGCACATAGTGCCCCATCAAAAATTTACATAATTTTCAAAGCGAATGCATTCTGTGAAAACAAC